TAATAAACAATGTTAGTAAATAAAATTAATATAATTTAATAAATTGTTTGAAAGAACACAAAATCCGAAAACTTAATATAAAGATATATTGACGTATATTAAATTGAAAATGCGGGAATTTCAAATAGCTTTATTTACAAGCGTATTAATTTTCTCTTTTTTTTAAACAGTGCAAAGAAGCATGCGTTACGCACGAGAGTATCTTACTTGCACTCATTGGCTGTGACTGACATGATGGTCAGAATGTCCTAAAGAAATGAGAACAATTGAGTGTCCCAATTCTATATAACCCGTCCGACGAGTTGAAACTATGCCAAAATGTATAAAAATCAGAAAGTTCATTTTTACAATTAAGAAAGGGAGTATATTGTCAAATAACGGATAATTATGCTCAATTGAATAAAATTTAATAATTGCCAAACGTAAATAATATGCTTATTCAGCATTCACACCTCAATTGGGACAAAATTCTCAAAGAAAATGCACAAATTTGATTGGATTTAGGAATTTTTCATTCTTTTGAGTCTAAATATGGACAACCAATAAAATTTGTTTATATTCTTTAGAAATTTTGTCCGTAATGAAATGCTCCTTTAATGTACTGTTGGTTGATTAAAGGTTTGTTTCCATTGTCCCAACTCGCTAAAGTCTCCACCTTTTGTCATAATTCTCGTCAACTACCACACCCTGTTCTAGTGAAAATTTAGTGATTTTTAGTAACTTTCAATTTTAACAATAAAGTCACTGAATTTTCACTTAAGCAGGGTGCGGTAGTTGGCGAGAATTATGACAAATGGGGACTTTGGCGAGTGCCTCTTCTGAGAAAATTCGGAATTAAGATATATCGTCTGCTACAGCGTAAACGCTAACTGAAAGCAGAAATGTTTCAGTAAAATGGTTGGTTTCCATTGTCCCCACCAAGAAGACTAGAATAAGGAGGAATAACTCTAGTGGTGGGGGTAAGAGATTGTTGACGCAGTATTTGAGTCCAATGAGGGTGGACAGTATTTGCGCAGTAGACCAAATTAGGTTTCTGCGCAACCGGATGTGTCACTTGTACGTCAGATCCGTTAGACAGCTGGCGTGACAACAAAGCAGACGACAGAGCTTGTCAAAAGCTAATTTAAAGAGTGTTCAAATTTTTAATAAAAAATTGACAACCTATCAGTAATCTAATTTGGTATACTTGATTCTATTATAAAGTGAATTTGCTAACTAAGACCCATCAATTTTAATTTATTTAATTAATTACGTGTCAATTGTTTACCAAACCAACATAACCTAAATACATTCACACATGTATGCGCGGATGTTTCATTTTTTCACTACTGCGCAAACTACCGGAGTCCTTCATTGTCCTCCGAATTTGCTTCACCCCCACCACCGGAGTTATTCCTCCTGTTTCTAGTCTTCTTGGTCCCCACTCGCCATTTGTCATAATTCTCGTCAACTACCGCGCGCCGCTCTAGTAAAATTTTAGTAACTTTCTTGTTAAAATTAAAAGTTACTATAAAGTTACTAAATTTTTACTAGAGCAGGGTGCGGTAGTTGACGAGAATTATGACAAATGGCGAGTGAAGTCAATGGAAACCAACCAAATGAGTTGTGAATTTTAGTTAAAATTCAATTTAACTAAATTGCATATTGTTAGCGTTTCATTGACAGAGTTTAAATATATTCAATTCTAGTTCAAATTCGGTAGAAGTAGAGGAAAGGTGAGTCTTTTTCAAGGTTTTTAAGAATCGATTGTACGAAATATCTAATTTTTTTTATCACCATATTATCACGTAATAAAGTGAAATATGGTTTTAGGTTAGAAAACTGAAAAGCAGGAACGGTACTGCCAACTTAAATAATAGCGCTAAATTTGAAATTATTTTTTTAAATTATAATTATTTATTTATAAATAATAATCATAATTAATATTTTTTACTTAAAAATTACTAAATATTCGAAATGGTAAAAAAAGTTTCTGGATATTCTTAAATCGTTAGAAAAAATAATAATTAAAAATCACTCTGCAAATGATGCCAACATAAAAATCTGAAAATCCGGATCATTTTGGAGTAACTTGAAGTTTGTCGCTTATTGTTGGATATTATCACCAGGTTTCAAACGCAAAACGCCGTTAGGAGCGGATTCTAAATAAAACGCTCTACCAACTACGCTGCAGTGGGTCGTCAAAATAAAATGCAAATTTAAAAAAAAAATTTATATATATATATAGCATAGTATAGGAACTATGTAAACATGCTGTGTAACCTGTAAAAAGGAAACAAGTTTTGCAGCATAGTTTTATGTTGCATATAATCATTATATAAAAAATAAAACGTGATTTCTTATATTAGTTAAATTTCAATATCTATAATCCTTTCGAAATGTAAATTTTTGTTTAATTTATTTTTTGTTAATTTTTAACAGTCATTGCTTACGATTTTCACTTGGATCGTCATTTTCAATGTTAAATTTTTTCATGAAATTAAAAAAATAGTCTTTTCCTTTTTTTTACTTTTTCTTATTATTATAATTTAGTACACTTGTAAAAAAAGGGTGTTTTTATTTTTCTCTTTTGTAACCCTATTTATATTATAAATAAATAATAAATAAATTACAAACAAAGCAGTAAACAAAACAAGAAAATTAAAAATATTGTAAAAATAGCGATTAAATTAAGTTACTTTAAAAAAGAGTAACTATACATTAAAAGCTACAAGTAAGTTTTAATTTCTATTATACAAATATGGAAAGTAGTTTTAAATTTTCAATTATTATCGTTTGTTTAATTAATTAAATGTATTATTTAATTATCAATTAATTATTTATTTAATTAATTATTTATTAATTTATTTAATTATTTTATTTATTTATTATTAATAGGTATATTAATTTAAAAAATAATTAAATAATTACAAATTTAAAAAAAAATTATGTCACCCTATAAGTTAATTCTAAAAAAGAAAAGTTTTTAATTGACAACAATAATTTGTGGAAAATAATTATTTAAGTAATATCATGTTTCATTTTCACCCGTTATTATATTAAGTACAAGAAATTGTACAACAGCTTTGATTGACCCAAAATATATTTCTTGTATGGAACATTCTTATATAATTAATTACACACCGGTGACCGTAACGCTAAAGAACACACAACCACTCTACGGTCAACTTTTTGAACTATATATCAACATCGAGGATTAATACTCTAATAAACTAATACATTACCATTATATAAGTATACATTATCTAAACCTAATTTACAGGTTTCTTAAAATTAACATACCTTAAATATGGTATTTAAAAAAATATTTAATTATTAATTATATATATATAAAATTAACAATTTAATATTTTTCATGTCGAAAAAAATCTTTTTAAACAAATTTAAAAATATATTTAAATATTTATCAATATTTTTTTATCAGTATTTTAATTCCTAATATTAAAACTATAGATTTAATATTAGGAAAATATATCAACAATTGGTAAATTTTAAATATTTTTTCGATATTTCGATTTTTATCGTTTTTTTATTTTCGATACATAATTATAATATACAGGGTGTTTTTTATGTTACGGATGCCCTAAAAATTTGTTTTTCTTTTTTTAAACAAAAAAAAAAGAGTGGAATTAAAAAAAAAAAATTTAGGGGGTCCGAAACAGAAAAATCACTCTGTATATAATAAGACTAAAATAAAATATAGCGGTAATACCAGTTATGATAAATTGTCCAATAGATCAGATTATAATTACTTTAAAATTTAGATCAGATCTTTTTTGTGGTTAAAAAGTAAAAGAAAACTTGAGCCCAAAAGTAAATTTTGAATTCTTACTGACCAATTAAAGGGATAAAATGAAAATTTTTCGCTTAAATATCTCGTCCTGTCTGGTCTAATTAACGCTGTCGCTAGAAGGTCTTATGTCAGCGTCCAATTAGCCAGGTAGGCGCTCCAACTAGAACCCTTAAATTTTCCATTCGATTTGAAATTTTATTAGAAGCATTTTGTATCGAGAAAATTTCCCCTAACTTTTTTTTTGGAGTATTTTTTTTTAATTTAAAATTTAAAAAAAAACAGAATTTTTTCTAAATTCTCAATTTTTTGTTTTCTATTCGATATTTTATAGAAATAAAATGAAAAATTAAAAAAAAAAGAGGAAGTTGCAATTAAAATACTTGTTCACCCCGTCCAGCCCCATTCACTTTACTTTCTACGCTACTTTCATTTTATATAATAATTAAAATATATGTCAGTTCACCAGTTTTTAAAATATCGTTGTACGACCATGGGGAATAAATTTTTTTTGACATTAGTTACTATTTTCGTTATTGAGAATTTCTGACGTTAATATCGAAAAGAAACTAGAATATTTTAGATTTTTTAAATTTAGAAATATTCTTAAAATTAGAATATATTAGTAATTAGAATATATTCTAATATATTCTAATTTTAAGAATATTTACTGAATTTTAAAAATCTAGTAGTATTTCACTTTTTTTCGGTTGTGGTTAAAAAGAAAAAGTGAAGGTGATTTATTAGATATTTAAATATTTCAAATTGCGAACTTTGAAACATTTTTAATCCATTTTTAGGACGGGAATTTATATGAAAAATTTTGCTTTTAACTATTGTTTTCCATTAAATTGAACTAACTCTCATTTGTGAACAGCTTGAGATGATGTAGTTACATTTCCTCTCACTCACTCAAGTCTCCCTCTCTCTTTTTTCGTGTCGCGGTTGTGGATAATGAAACGTGCTTCACCTAAAGACACACGTTTTTTGCAACCACTTCATACTCGTTGCGAATACTTTCATCATAGACGTCCTGATATAATCTACGATTAATGCCAGTATATGGATAATAAAAAATATATAATTGGAGCAAGAGAAAAAAAACCCTATTTTTAAAAAAATTATACTTTTAAAAAAGAAATATTAAATTCCTATATTGTTTTCTTTTTTAAAAAGTAAACGAGACGTCAATTTTTGCAAGGTCACTCACCTTTCTTTCTTTTTGTGCTAGAATTTACAGCATGTGTTGTTTCTAAGGATGGAATGATTATGAGCGAAAGGAGAAACATCGTTGTAAAAAAGTCATTTTGTTTAAAATTAAACATTTTCATTATTTCCATTTTTTTTTTTGAGTTGGGTCACTATTATCTCAATTTCTATGACCTCTCGTCAAAACGGTTCAAACATTCACTCTCTTGATTCACAAAACAGAATTTGGATTCACTGTTACACTAAAAAAAACAAAAAATGGAGCACTGTTTAAAAAAAAAATATTTTTTAAAATAATAATAATTACATAAAAAGCAAACTGATTTATCTTATAACTCAACTCGACTGATGTTGTTGCACACCTATTTAATACCTATCGCTCCACCTTCGCTACTCACTATTGGCTTCTGTCCCAATTCTCTATCCAATGGTACCACTCTCACGCGCGCGTTCACCTCCTTTTCAAATATGCCACGCGAACGGAGAGAAGTGGCCCGTTCATATCCTCAGACGTAGTGTTTCCTATGTTAACGCGTTCTCCAAAGGAATTACACTTTCGGCTTTACTCAAATATATATATATGTATATGTACTGGAAATACATTTTACACGTCATTAAAATATTGACTTCACTTATAATACATTCTTTTACCCCTCTCTGTCTATCCAATCTACTTTTGTCATAAAGCAATTGCCGTTTTTAACAAATAATAATTGGAAAAAAAACCCAATGCTTTTTCTTTTCTTTTTTTTTTCTTAAAAGAAAACAACTTTATAAGAGTTCCTCTGTGGAAACAATTTTCAACATTTCACGCTCACTTTCAAATAGTATAAGTGAACTACAAATCCTATTAATTTAATTTCACACATATATACAAAGAAAACAATTGGAAATGAAAAATATTCAAGTTTTTACTAAGAAAATGAATATTTACTTTCATAAACCTTGTATGTTTAACTAAGTCACATTTTGTTAAGGAGTTAATAATATGCACTCGATAAAGATAATCGAGTTATTTAATTTAGTCAATCGTTTTATTAAGTAATATATTATTGTAGTTTTTTCAAATGGAAATTATTAATTATAAATTGAGATTCTAATATTAAAGCTTAGAAATTAATAATTTTTTTATATTTCGAAATTACCACTTATCGGAATTTAATTCCCTTCATACTTTTTTTAATTATTTAAAAAAATAAATGAAAACTAATTTTTTGATATACGACATACTTTCAATATTTTACACTCAGAGAAACGATACACTTGTCTAAGAGCGAAATAAATATTTGGTTTAAATAAAAATTTTGTTTCATTTAAATAAAACTTTTTTTTAAATTAAATATACTCTCTAAATTTGAATTAGTAAAAAGTGAGCTACTAATTCACATTAGTAAGAATTTTTACTAATTTTTAGTAACGTATTACTGTTTGATTTAGTACTCTCTAAATCTGAATTAGTAAAAATGTTTACTAATTTGAATTGGTGACTCACTTTTTGCTTCTGAATTAGTTAAATTTTACTAATTGTTAGTAAAATTTCATATAATTAGTAAAATTTTGAAATTAAAAAATATTTAAAATAAATCAATTTAAAATAATTAGTAAAATTTGACTAATTTAGAAGCAAAAAGTGAGTCACTAATTCAAATTAGTAAACATTTTTACTAATTCAGATTTAGAGAGTAGTTTTAATTCTTACTAATTTAAATTAGTAGCTCACTTTTCACTAATTTAAGATTTTAGAGAATAAATTTTATTTGATTAAATAAAACCATTTTTTGATTAAAATATAAATTTTATTTGGTTTAAATAAAAAAATTTATTTGTTTTAAAAATGAAAAATTATATTTAGTTTACTCTCTAAATCTGAATTAGTAAAAATGTTTACTAATTTGAATTAGTGACTCACTTTTTGCTTCTGAATTAGTAAAATTTTACTAATTATTAGTAACTTTTACTAACAATTAGTAAAATTTAACTAATTCTAAAGCAAAAAGTGAGTCACTAATTTAAATTAGTAAGTATTTTTACTAATTTAGATTTAGAGAGTAAATAAAAAATTTTTGGTTTATTTAAATAAAACTTTTTTTAATTTACGACAAATAAATTAGCCTAGTTGGCTTTGAGACAAATATATACGTTTATTTAATTCAAATATATTATTTATTTAGTCACATGATCGAGAGAGTATTATAATGAGGAGAGTCTTTTAACACCATAGAAACAATTTAGTCTAAAATTCAAATATATTTTATTTAGTTCAAATAAATTATTATATTTATTATTTAGTTCAATTTCTCTGCATGTAAGTTTAAAAAAATTTTAAACTTAATTTAAACCTTTTTTTGTCACTAAGGGGTCTAATTGACCCCAAACATATTTTTCTTTCATTTCTCAAAATAATTAAATAATCGTTACCTAAAATAGTCATTTTTACTAAAAAAAAATTTTATTTCTTTTTTTTTTCTTTAATAATAATGAATAATTAATCAAAAATAATATCATTAAACTGCAAAATAATCGTATTTTTTATAGTAAAATATTTTTAAAACAAAATTTTTGAAATATTAGTAAAGCAAAAATAATCGAAATTAAAAAATTGATTATAAAATAGTATTACAAAAAAATAATTAGTGTTTGCAAAGTAATGTGTATTTAATTATGAATGAATTAACGGTCTAAAGTAAAAATATATTATTGTAAAAAATTAAATATTTTTTTTTTAAATTAGTAGTAAAGAATTTTTTATCAAAAAAATTCTAAAATAGCAAAAAAAAAAAAAATTTCTTTAGTTTTGATATGGAAATAAAATCCCATTGAATGCCAAGAAAAAAAAATTGGCATCCGTATAAGTAACGGTACTTTGGATGAGACTATTTTCAGTTATACGACTTATATTTAACATTCATCCAACTAACTTATTTCAAGTTGCATACTTAATTTAAGGCTATATTGAAAATAAGTTCATTTACATTTTAAGAAAAAATGATTTACTGTGAAGCAAGTATCGATAACTTGCATGACAAGTTTTCATAAAGCAAGGCAGTAATTTTATTTCTATATGTAAATTAAGAAAAAAAAAAAAAATAATACCAACAGGAGAGGTCAAAATACTTTTAATTTTTATATATCTTATATTATATAAACATGGGTCACTGTCTTCTGAATAGATTTAAATTGATCATTTAAAATGATATAATGATGATTTCATATATTAAAAAGACGTTCAATGAATAATACATGAATTTTCTGTTTTGATTAAAAGTAAATATTGTTTTTTAAATTTATGAATGTTATTATTTTACTACAAAGCAATAACATATACAAAACTTATTGAGACATAATAAACATTTTCAAGGTATTTATATTATTTTATTATATACAAACATTGATTTTCTTTATAAGAGTGGAAAGTTTTATTAGAAATGCCTCTGTTAAAATGTTGAAGTTAATAAATTATAAAAGTTTTTGTAAAATTGCACTTGTAATATAAACGATATATAAATATTGATCATATATAAATATACACGGTAGTGAAAGTATTTATGTGTAGGGAAATTAAAAAAATTTTTTAATAATGTTCTTCAAACTACTTTTTGAAATGGTCAACTAAAAATAATATTTTAGATTAACTGAAAAATATTAGTAAGTGCCTTTCGCTTTCATTAGATTACTGAGATTTTTTCTAAATGGTATCTGAAAACCGGTTTGAGACGTTGTCGTGGTAGGTCAGTCGTAGTACGTTGATAAACGATAAATGTAAGATTAGAATAGAAACTTTCAAAACTGGACCAATGACGTTTCATTAAAAAAATTTCCCTAAACATTTTCCTATGTTTCTAAGAAATTTGAAATATTTTTAAATTATTTGAATAGTTTTGGTGAAAAATTGTCTTCTCAACAGTTTTTTTCCTGAGAATTTATTTTTTAAATTAATTTATTTAATTAATATTTTTAAAGAGAGGTGAAAATAAATTAAATTAATATTTTAATGTATGCGTTGCATAATTTTAGTCTTTTATTTATCTTGTGGAATTTTTCATAAATTGTAATAAATTGTAAATTTTATAATATAATAATATTTTAATTATATAATAATAATAATAAATAAATAATATTAATAAAATTATAAATAAATATAAGTAACTAATTTAATTTAAAATTTACAATAAAAAATTGGATAAAATCGTAAACACTCACATATTTAATAAATGATTAATATATTAGTTATTTAATATTTATTGATTAATTTGTCATGGTGACATGACATCTGCATGTAATAAAATATTTAACTTAAAAGTTTAAGTAAACATTATACTACATTAAAATTCAATGTTAAAATAATAAATGTTAAAACAATATTGACACAACATTACCCTAACATTGTGATAAAATATTTGCTAAAACTTTAAGTATGCAATATTTTATAAAAAAAAAGTAGAAAAAAGTAGAAAACTTTTAAATTAGGTAGAAAATTGCATGAAGAAATAGAAAAATTTTTTAAAAGTAGAAAAATGTTAAAATAAGTAAAAAATATTATTGCAAAATAGAAAATAGTAGAAAATTTTAAACTAAGTAGATAATTTTATAAAAAGAAGAAAATAGTAGAAAAATATTAAAATAAGTAAAAAAAATTATAAAAGAAATAGTAGAAAAACTGTAAACCAAGTAGAAAATTTCATAAAAAGTAGAAAAAAGTAGAAAAGTTCTAAATTGAGTAGAAAATTGAACCTAAAAGTGTTAAAATAAGTAGATAATTTTTTAAATAAAGAAAATAGTAGAAAAATTTTAAACTAAGTATATAAATTAAAAAAATATATATAATAGTAGAAAAATATTAAAATACGTAGATAATTTTATAAAAAAGAAGAAAATAGTAGAAAAATTTATAAAAAAAATAGGAAAAAAGTAAAAAAAAATTTTTTTCTAAAGTAGAAAAATGTTAAAATAAGTAGAAAATCTTAGAAAATTTTAAAATAATTAGAACATTTTGTAAGAAGGAAGAAATAATAGAAAAATTTTAAATCAAGTAGAAAATTTTTTTTCAAAAAGTTAAAAAACTTAAAAAGTTCTTTCGTAAGTTTTTTTAAATAGCAATATATTTCTCCAGGAAATGTTACGGAAATTTTTTTTTGCTCTCTGTGGGAATAATATTTTGAAAGAAATGAATCATATAGAGGTAAGTTTTATTTAAAAGTAATACTATGTATTTTAAATTTGAAACTTAAGCAATTGCTATTATTATGTTTTAAAAGGCAATTAGATAATTACCCATTTTCATACAACACATTATATAAGTCAATTGCTTAAATTAAATTTGGATCTATGAATATAACTTAATTATTAAAAAAGTCTTCCGAAATAAGATTGTTTTCTTAATCTCGCACACAACTAGAAATTACAGTATTATGCCGGGAGTTTATTACTGGCGGAGTACCACGCCTGTAATATTGTCAAGGCTATTAGAAACAAATTTTTTTTTTA